TAGAAAGTATTAGTACTTAAACATGATTCGTGGTATACTGTTTCAAATGTACATTTGGGTAACATTAAAACATCACAAATTTGTATTTAGAAAATTGTTTGGGATTCTACCACTTGGAATAGGCTTTCGCACCAAATGCTAATTTTAAAATTATTTTCCTTGAGATGAATTGTTTTACATTGTTTTCGATTAGGTAAAATTTTATTATAAAGGTATTTTCAATTATTATGATAGAGCTTATTCATTGTATTAAGTTCTTTTTATCATAGTAGGCTAATTGTAAAATGTTTTATTTATATTATAAGTTCATTTCTATCATGATAGGGTTTTAAAAGAAGTTTTATTATTTTCTATTATGGTAAGAGTTTAATGATATAAAAATAATTTATTAAATTAACAATTTATGAAAAATTAGTTCATAACATTTGGAGCATGACAATTGACCTATATAAGGGGATTGTGGTAGACCTTTCTAATCCCCTATCTTCGAACTTCACCTTGGATGATACAGAAAAGGAAAGAATTTAGGGAAGTTGTTCTTCTCATGGCTGTTGGGAATCACCTCTAAATGGCTAGGTTAAGCTGAATATTGACAGCGCTTTAAAAGGGAACCTAGGGTCTGCAAGTTGCAAAAGACATTTTTAAGATCATGGTGGGAGTTAGTTGGCTGGATTTGTCTGCAATCTTGGCACATGTTCAACAAAAGAAGCAGGATTTTGGGGTTTTTTTTTCCTTGGTTTGCAGGTGGCCGCACAGCTAAATGTCAAAACACTTATTGTTGAAAGTGATTCCCATGCCGTGGTGAACGAATATGCTTGTGTGATGGAGGGGGGCGAATCAAATCAATGGCAATTGCGGCATGCATTAAAGCTGTTAGATTAGGAGTGGCAAATTCAAGTTAAGACATGTCCATAGAGAAAGCAATGAGTACAGAATGGCTTGCTAAATCTGGTTTTAATCAGGAGCATGTGTGTAGAATTCTTGAAGAACCTCCCAAAGGAATCTTTGATTGGCTCTATCGAGATGTATGGGATCATACCAATCCTTGTTTATTTGTTAGTTAATAAGGTTTGGTCATGAGTCCCGTGCTAATTAAAAGAAGAAGTCAATTTAAAGATTATAATTCGATCCGACTCAAATAAATTTAAAAAAAATTAAATTAAAATTTAAGGTTGGACTTAAAAATTTAATTTTTTTTTATTTTAAGTTCATTCAGGCTGCTTAATAAGCTTGAAGAAATCCCGGTCAAGCCCAAACTCGAATAAGCTTGGTGTGAATACTCAAATTCTTTTTTATTTTTAATAATATGAAATTAATATTTACCTTAACTTTCACTTATTCTTCACAAACCCTCTCCCAAACTCTCATTTTGTTAGATTTTGCACTCCTAAATGAAATTTTAATGTTATAATAATTGTTTATTTTGTATATTTTTTGAAAATATTTTACAAACAAACACAAAATGTTAATTCATATGCTTTTATTTTACTTTTTCAATGCTTGGTCTCACTTTAAATAAGGATAAAAAAAACGCATTTTAGTATATGTTGCTAGAAAAATCTTAATTATTTAAAATAAAAATTGAAATTGATTAAAAAATATAATATAACATTTAATAATTCAGATATTTAGGCTAACCTAAATGATCTAAAAGCTTGAGATTGATTATACTAGCATTTTTGAAGTAATTTTAAACATGATCCAAATAATCTCTATCCATCTGAATTACTCATTCTAGAACAGATGTTACATTTCAAGACCATCAAGTCTTTAGCACGCCTAGCGCATATCTCAATTTTCACAAACAGATGGAAATTCAAGGATTTGACAAAATCTATCCTGGCAATTGAGGTGATCCACTTCTTTCTTTTAATTATGTTACTACCAATTTTCCATTGGATGCGGCTCTGATTTGGGCCTCTTTTCGGTGATCAATATCATACATTCATACATGACCAAGACGAAAAGGCAGGATTATATTTCACACTCATTTTCGGTGATTCACTGAATCTCTCTTGTTCCTTTAAGCTTGAGAATATTCATTTCAAGCAACTGTTTATATATAATTAATTACGATCCATCAAATATTAATATTTGAATTGAATGAGTTTACTTATTATAATATATCAAACGATTGTTGGGCAAAATATATATATATATATATATATCAAACGATTGACATATTAATTGAAATGTATACTCATAATAGTAAGGATATAAATCAATGAATATCCAAAAAAAAAAAATATTCTCTTTAACATGCGATCATGTTGTCCGTCCAATGTGGTGCTAGGTGTGCCGGCTAAGAGATCAATATGGACGCACAAAATTTAAAGTTAACAACTTTTTGAACGTTGAATTTGTGTATGTTTAAAGTTGTGTGGGCATTACCGATAGGGATGAGGACTTGTGACTCACAGCACGATGAATAAGCGCCGAAGAATTTGAAAGACATGCTCATGTTTACTATTTCACTGTGCATCGAACAAAATTATTTTTAATAAAAAAACTGTGTGTGTTTGGGAAAGGGAGACATTGACCCAAAAAAAGAAAAAAATTAGTTATTTTATACATGTATTTAGTTTAATTATAATTCAATATCTGAATTTTGACTCCTTATTATTCGATCATTATAATTTTAACTTGTTATAATTCATGTGTCTTAAACTTTAATGTGATGCAATCTAATCTCTATAATTTTAACCATTTAACAGATTGGTATCATGTTTTAGAAAATAAAATTATAAAAATTAGAATTATTTTGACATTTAGACACTAATATTTTAAATTATTAAAACTTTTAATCTTTATCAAATTAAATTTTTAAAATAATTTTAATATTTACAATTTATTTTTTAAAATAGAGATCGATGTTTTAAATATTTAAAATTATATGCACTAAGTTATACCAAGTGAAATTTAAGCAAATTTTTACATAAGTGATAGTTCCTTGTTTGGATATCTTTAATAGAGAAAAGAGCTGCTGCTCTTGTTGTTAATTTTTTGTAACCTTACTATCATTCAAGCCTCAGCTTGCCTCTCTCATGAGAAAAAAAATTTAAGAATTAAGTTACAACTGAATCAAAATTATAATGGTTAAATTATAATGAGTTAAAATTTAAGAATTAAATTATAAGTAAGTCATTATTACAAAGATCAAGTAATTAATTTTCAAAAGTAAAAAGATTAAGGGTGTGTTTGGGTTTTTAACATTTAACGTTTTAGATCCACTTTTTAACATTTCAGATGTTAAATGTTGTTTGGGTATTTTTTATATAAACAAAATAAATTTTTAAAAGTGGGTTGAAATGTGGATTTAGCAACTCAGCTTTTTAGTAGGTTTAAAATTACAAATGAGAGTTAGATTGTATTTACTTTTCTATATGACTTTGATACCCTTATTAAGTTTTTTTTTTCTAATATTAAACAATATATTTTTTTTCTTATTATTTGACATATTAAATTTTATGTTATTTTAATTTTTTCACATTTTTAAATATTTTTAATATATTATATTTGTAAAATAAAAATTATCAATTATTATAAATTAATGTCTTTTTGATTATTACATATATAAAAGTACATTTTCAAAGTACAAATCGTCATTAATTTAAATAATTTTTAATTTATTAAATTAATTTTTTTAAAAAAATATATTTAAATATAAATTTTATTACAATCATTAATTTTTACTAAATTAATTTTTACTGAATAAATTTTTAATAAATAAGATTTTAATAAACTAAAAATTGAATACACACCAGGACTTTTTGATAGCTGACCATAAAAGTTGGTTGTTTGCTGGTAATTGTGTGACTTTTCGACTTTGGTAGATGGATCCATAAAAGCTAATGTATGTGTCCCTTAGAAAATTCAAAATCTCACGCACGTGACATGACTTGTCACTATATATATATATATATATATATTGCAATAAACAAAAATTGAAGCTAGTTTTAGAGATTTTTTTTTTTGGCCAACGAGTTTTCGGGATCCACTATATTGGCGCAAATTGTTTTGGGAAGTTGTTAATTATAATTAAAGACTTGAGATCCTCAAATGTCACTTTCCCTTTTTTTTTATATTCAATTATTTTTTTTGCCGGCATATATTCAATCAAATTAAATGATTTCATATTGATATCAATTTTCATTTTTGAACATATTTTATAATGCCATGGCTAAATTTTGAGCTGTATTTTTTTAATTTTTAAAAATAATTTAATGTACAATTTTTAAAAAATAAATAATATTCAAATCATCCTAAATTATAAAACACCTCAGACCAAATCTCACATATCAATAAATTTTATTAAATATACTTAATAATTTTATTTTTTAAAATAAAAAAATATAAAATACTTAAAAATATTTTCCATTTAATATATTATAAAGGAAGAGAGATAAAAATTAATTAAAAAAATAAATTTGTTTAATGAAAATTTAATCTTTTTAAAGAGTCAATTACAATCAACACCACTTTTCTATGAACATGAGTCAGGATTTGTACCACCTTTCACGGTTGAGTGCTTGTGGGTGTTGAAATTAATTAATCATTTTAAAAAAATAAATAATAGAATAACAATTGAGAGCTGCCGGAAGAGTTTCAAAAGAATCAATTAATTTAAATTAAATCTCAAATATTAAATTTTAAAAATTTATAATTCAATCTTTCAATTTTATAACTACTTGTAATGAATTTATAACTTATATTTTAAATTTTAATAAATTTTTTTTATTTTTTAATCATATTAAAATTTAAAAAATAAATTATAAATTATAAATTTAACACAATACAATTATAAAAATAAAAAATTAAGTTATAAATTTTTAGAAGTTAACACATGATTTTATTTGAAATAATTAGTTTTTTGAGACATTTTTGCCGTTATTCCAATCGTAAAGTTATATTGTACGACGTGTCAGATCGTGATAGCCCACGGACAAGGTAGGAAGTTTCGTGGAAGCTTCATCGGACAACGAGTATACCCAAGAAGTCAAGTTCCTTCTTCTGCATTTGTGGTTCCCAGTCGTGTTGATCGAGTTCGTTCATCCCAAATGTTGCTGCAGGCCTAAAGCAAGTTTCGCAGCATTACATTATGTCCCCCTCATCCGGATTCATACGCTCTCTTTTATTCCTCTGGTAATCACTCACTCACTCACTCTCTCTCTCTCTCTCTCACACACACACTTATATATATTAGTTTAATTTAGTTATTTTTCCATTTCGCTTCGCCAAAATAAAACGCAAGGGTGTGGCGTTTCTGATTTAGTTTTGACACTGTTGTCAATATTTTTAAAAAGCTAGATAGATGCATGGGGATGGTTGCGAGTCCGAATCTCATTCATTGCATAGCTGATGTGCTTATATATTATTCATGGATAAAAGTCCTTTGAAAATTAAGAGTGATTAGCTTTCTTTTATCCAATGAAAGATGGGGAAGAGAGGCAAAAGAAGAGGTGAAAGTAGGAAAGACATGGACAGTAAAAATATGAAGAAAATAAAAAGGTTAGTGGAATTAAAATTTTAAATAACTATAGTTTGGGAAGAACTTGAAGTTATAAAGAAATTATTACAAAATATGAATTTTTTATAAGTTCAAATTAAAATTTAAATATTCACATATCCAAACACAGCCTTAATGGATTTGAAATAATATTAGTTTGCTGATGGAACAAACTTAATTTCACGGATGGATTACCTAACAAAAGAAACTGTGCTTTACTTGAGTCCTTGAGTGGTTTCTATGCAATATTAGTTAGTAACTTGAAAAAAAGATACTCATTTTTTTATAACAATGGAAAATAAACTATACAACAATAAGAGCGTCTTACTGTATCACAAAGATTGAATCATGACAAGGAAAATTCAAGGGATGAAATCTAACTATGCATGATACGGCCTTCTTTGGGAGGACATCCGTTGTTTTATTAGCGTCTTTAGAGATTCTTTGAACGTTTACTTCTCAGGCACGATTTTATGGGGCTTGTATCTCTTAGATAACACTAGAATCCGATTGAGTGAGAGAGATTGTTCCATTTATTATTTTAATAGCTTCTAGAGAATCCAATTTAAGAATAATCTTTTTATACTTGAGATTTCAAATAACTTTAAGCCCCACAAACAAGTCCATAGCTTAACATGTAGTGGGTCTCCATCAATTATCTTAAACATGAATCAACTTTGAAATTTTCCTTTATAATTGTGAATCAAACCATCGCATTTGGAAATATTCTCTATTACAACATATGCACCATTCACATTCTATTTATTTCATCCATCAGTTGGTAGGTACCAAGTTCCATTAAGGATAGGGCTAGTATGCCTCTGCCACACGATTCCTACGATCTTGCTCTGATACTCTTTGAAAGTGTTTATAATTGCTAGACTCTGAGCATCAATAATAGCATTCGGAGTGGTTTTATCTTGAAAAATATTCTCATTTCGTCTCCTCCAAAGGAGCCAACACATAATAGAAAAGAAAGAGCTCCAAGGAATGCCTCTCTTCTTTCTTTGGGATTGCACATTCTACATGATCCACTCATGCATATTTGTACCAAAGAATTTCACTCTATCCTCATGTACAATATGTTCTATCTAAAAGCTTTTTGTGATTGGGCACTCTCATAAGACATTGATGAGATCCTCCACAACATCTTGGCAAATCTCACACTGGACATCCACAAGCATTCCAATGCATTTGACCTATATTAGTAAGCAACTTGTTATGATATGATAACCATAAAAAAAAAACTTACAGTGTTCTAGCACTTGAAGCTTCCATATTTGCTTCCGAGTGCTATCGTAATCAGTTGTATGTTGAGCCACAATTTTGTAGGTATGCTTGACCGAGAATTGGCCACTCTTGCTCCACTTCCAACTAGCATCCTGTTGATCTTCACTAATAACGGTCCTAGTTTGGAAAAAACCCCAAGTGACTTTAATTCCAAACCATATATTAGAACCGAGTCTTTTCTTATTAATAGTTGAAAGGATATCAGAATCACATTTATATTTACTTCTTATAAGATGAACCTAAGGTTCATCCAGATGTTTGATAGTACCCCAACCCAACTTCATCTGAAATGCTTGATTTTCTTGTTGTGCATGCCTGATTCTAAGGTCACATTTGCTTACTAGAATGGAATGGATTGAAAAAATTAAGACAAAAATAAAGTAAATCACCCTTCTACCAATGGTGATCATGATAAAACTTATTAATATATACTAAAAATATAGGAATCATCACACCCTCCCAAAATTTTATGGATCATGATTCCCAACCTCATGAATTAAATTACTCTTTTTTCTTGTGAATGTGCTTGCCTATCTCCCTTATTTATCATATTTTTATTTTTTCAATCCATTCAATTTTATTTTATTCTAATAAGCAAACGTGACCTAAGTCTTTCACGAGTCTTAGGTTTACACTCTTTATCTTAAACAATTAGATGCACTTTCCTCTTTTCACTACTAATACCTTAAAGGAAGTTTCGGTTTGCCCTCTCTAGTTTATAGCATGTTGCAGTTGGGATGTTAGTTGTTTGCATGTGTAAGTAGGAATACTAGAAGTGACAGAATTGATCAACATCTTTCTCCCAGCAAGAGCTAGTGAATTAGCCTACAGATACTCTTCAACTCTTTATTATATGACAAATTTGATGCCACTTGATTTAATTAAGGGAAAATCACATTTAAAGATATTTTAATAATTTCTCTAAATTTCCTAATCAAATAATAGAGAAGGAAAAATTTTTATCAAACGGATTGTAAGTGAGATTAATCTCTTTACAAGGACACGCCCTTACCAAAATAATAGATATATCTTTAAAATGATACGATATGTATGATACAAGTTCCATATTCATGTCAATCCATATCACTTTGTAGTGTTTTTTTTTTTAATTGATATACAACCATAGTTGGTTTATAATATAAAACCAAATACTCTTTTAAGTAGTATTTGGATTGATAAATTTGAATTTGGATGTTAAATTTAAAATCTTGCATTTCAATACATTTGAAATTCATATATTTAAAATCTTTTGTTTATATAGTTTAAAAAATTTTAAATGAATAAGAGAGATAAAATGATATTTGAAATGAAAATGAAAAATGAAAAATGATGAATTTATTTATATTTTTTTAATTGGCAATTGATGAGAAAAGATATGAGAGTCATAACTATATTAATAATAAAAACGTAAAGATAACAAGATATTTGAATTTATCAAAATTTTTAAATGACTAAGATGGAGAGGGAATTTGAGATTATAAAAAAATTATAATTTAAAATGAATTTAAATTTAAATTAAATATAAATTCATAACTTTTTATGTATTTAAATGAGAAATTTGCTTTAAATCTAAATTTTAATTTTTATTAATACAAACACACCATAGCTTTTAACTAGTGACATGAAAAGAGAGTCTGATGGGATGTATCGGTAACAACATGACATGTTTCCACATTTTTGGTCCGCTTGTGTTTTTTTTTTTTTTTTTGGGGGGGGTTTATAAAATTTGAGTTATTATAGGTACTTTACTAATTACTAACGTAGGATGGCTGTTTTAGAATTTATACAATAATCCTTAAAATATTTAAACTTATTTTCTAATCAAATAATTCGTTAGTTGTTTATATAAAATTTTTGATGAGTATTTGATACTCTTAGATTTAGCAGTGAAGCCAAGAACCAAATCCAAGGGTGTAAGATTATTTAATTTAAAATTAATATTTTTTAAAACTAATAATTTAAAATTATTAATAATAATTACATTAAGATGAAAATTATAATAATATAATTAGATTGATGGCATTTTTATTTTTAAAAAATTATATTGAACATGTTAATATGTCATTTAATGTAAATATGCTTTTCATATCTTATTTTAGTCATTGTAATATTATATATTTAATAGACTTTTGAGTCCAAATATTTTTTACTTAATTTAGAGGGTTTAAAATATTAAAAATAGGAGGTATAAAGTTGTAAAATTTATATATTTTATTTACAATTTTTTTAAAGTGAGGGATGTATTTGCACACTATCACCTAAATTGGCTCCGCTACTTAGATTGGAATATTTTGAAATCAAAACTTAAAGGCATTTTTTTAAAAAATTTAATTTTATTAAAAATTGCCACATTAATCTTTTTATTCCTAATATTTTTTTGAGATTTTATTTTAAAATTAAATATTAAAATTTCTAAAGAATGGTTTCTTATATTTCCAAAAATAAATATTTTATTTATTTTCTAATATATTTTACTTTTTACTTTTAAATATTTTAATTTTAGGTTGCAAATTAGCCTGTTTATAGTTTTTTATTTTATTTTAAAACCTTCTATGATATGTGAAACTAATATTTAAAAATAAAAGATTTAGTGTGTTTTATGAATCTTTTTGTAAATACGCACGCATATCCTAATATGTATTGTATAGTATATTTTTTTTAAAAATATTTTGCTATTATTTTTAAAACTGAGCTTACATGAAATTTTATTTATAACTTTATATTGAATTTCTGGGACAAATAGTTATATTAAAGCTTAATTAATTTGAAATGAAGATTAGAGCATACTATTTACAAAAACTAGAATTTTTTTTAGGCCAGTACAATAACTAGAATTAAAACACTATTTTTTACCGAAATTTTCCGAGATATATGACTAAATTAGTTTGGTCTCTTGTATTGAATGGTTGTACTAATTTCATTAACTGTGTGGTTGTGTCAGTTTTATGTGAAAAAAATGTGTTTGATTAATTACAATTTAAATTTGGCCAAAAATGATTAATTACAATTTAAATATATAAATATTGATTTATTAATTTTTGTTTTTAATTTTCCAATCTCAAATGAGATGTAACGATTTTCAAGATACATGAAAATTCAGTCTTGTTTCTTTTTTAGAATGAGACATGGGGTGGGGTTCTCTCAATACTTATAGTTTTCTTTGCTTATAGAAGTTTGTAAATTTATAGCTCATTTATTTAAGATTAAAGAATAAGCATTTTTTAATTAGATTCAAGATTTTATAAACAAAATAGATATTATGTTATGTTTGACTGTAATTAAAAAATTATTATTTAATTATTTTAAATTTTATAATATTTTTGTGGATATCTTTTTTATAAAAAATATATATTTATGTAGTTATTTTAAAATTTTATAATATTTTTTTTATATTTTCGTATCTTTATAACATTTTTTTCTTATCTACTTTGTCATATTATTTTCAAAAACTATTCAAATTGCTAAAACATAATAAAAACATATGCTTTTTTTTAAATGGGTTAAATAACATTTTGAATCATGAAGTATTACGTGAAAAATGCCTTGGACCCCAAAATTAATCAATGATTTTATCAATTGATTTCAAACTAAACTTAACTAGTTAATTAAAATCTGGTGATATTTAAAGTTTTAAACTTCTTTTTTCAAATTAGATTTCAAGTGTTCATTGTTAAATAAATAAATATTATTTTAAAAAATAAAATTAGAATTATAGAGTATATGAAGAAGTAAGATACTAATTATTTACAAAACATTGTTAAAAATGAGGCAAAAAATGTCATCTCACAAAATTTTGAATCGTTTGCCATGGGCAACGATATGTTCATTGTGGTAGATTATTTTGAGGTTTATTTAGTCTACATAAGAGCTAACGTTTTACACAAATGGTGATGATAATTTTCTTTGAGTTTTAAAATTTAAGGTCAAAGATGTTACTCGCGTAATAGTTTAGAATCTATGATAGTTATTAACAAACGATACATTAGTGAGGAATTATCACATCAACATTTTGGCTAAGCTCCACAAAGTAAATAGTAATGGCGTTAAATATAAGTTGACAGTGAGGATAATTTATTATGAATTTAAAATTTATGATCCATCTTAAACATTTTAATAATTCAAGATTCGTCAAGGCACTTTTTGCATAATACTTCAGGGTTTAGGATGCTCATTAACCTTTTTTTTTCATATTCTGTTATTTTTAAAAATTTAAACAAATAAATAATGTTTTTATAAGAAGAACTTCGACTACCGGTTATTAGTCTTAGCTAATTATTTTTTGTACTTGAGAAAAGAGAGTGGCATTACAAATACCTTGATATTGTTCTCATTTACACTGCATTCACCAAATGTACATCCACAACCAAACATACCTACAGATTCCCTCATTGATATATTTTACTTTATTTTATTTGATATTTTCTTATAAATTACAATGACAATGACATTGTTTAATTTTTTGTATTAGTTATCTGTCCGTTTGAACAGCTAGAACGTCGTGCTTAATTTGCTTTCACCTACGGTTGATCTTCTTCAAAAATCTCGCGTGCGTCATTGATGAAAATACATATTTCTGTGACGATTTGATTTCCGATCGATTGTATTAACCATGACCTCCACATCTCGAGGCTCCAACGGTGCCTCCAATCATAATAATGGCTTCATCACCGTCACCATCGCCGCGCATCCGGATGGCGAACCTCCTTCTTCCTCCATCGTCCATGACGAAGACTTGCCGGTGGATCCGGAAGATCCTTTCGATATTGCTCAGACCAAGAATGCGCCTCCCGAGGCCCTCCGGCGATGGAGAGTAAGCATAAAATTATATAAATTTTCTTTCTGTTCTTCATTCTGTTCTCTATCGAACACATTTTCGCTTGCGTCTAGCCGGGTCAATCGATGAGTGATGCGTGGATCGTGTTTGACTACATTTCTGCAGTTCTTCATCATAATGCCACACTTATATGCATTGCATCGTGTTTAATTTATCTGCGCGGCTGCATATAATGCATGGCCTGTATTTGTCTTCATTGCTGTGTTCAGCGTACATACGTGCATTTGTTTGTGTAATTTTGTTTCACCGAACAAAAATGCAATATCTGGACGTTTAGTTTTCACATGTCTTGATTTATTATTTCCACATCTCATCAGTCACAGTTTTTGCTTTGTACTGTTAAGATCATTGAATGTATGCATTTTTGCTGACGTGATCATGCTTAGTTTGTTGGAAAAGAAGAAAAGGATGAGTTGCAAAATGCAGGAAATTAACAATTTGCAAAGGCATTTACTTGGTGCAATCATAATAATAATGCATGTCAAATATGAATGGAAGAAGGGGCTGAAAAATGAAACCTATATTACAGTTAATTGACAAGATGGAAGTACTTTTTTTCTTGCCTGAAGATGGAAGGTATTGAATCTTTGAAAATACTCTGGCAAAAAAAATAAAAAATGAAAATACAAATCTGACTTTTATAGTATGGGCTGGCCCCAAATATTGACAGCCTGTAAAGCGCGTCTCAACAGTAACCATTCTTCAGGTAAAAAAAAAAAAAAATATATATATATATATATATTCTAAATTACTAATTCACCAACTTGTACAAGTGGTAAACGGTCGTGTTATTAACGTAATTTCAGCAAGGAATTGTAGTGCGTAGTGTGACTTGCAAGGCATTTGAACTGAAGTTTCGCTCATTTGCAGCAAGCAGCACTTGTGCTCAATGCCTCACGGCGTTTTCGTTATACTTTGGACCTGAAAAAAGAAGAAGAGAAACAACAAAAGAAAAACTTGATTAGAGCCCACGCACAAGTCGTAAGAGTAAAGTTTCTGAATCTGGCAATCCTGTTCCCTCAAATTTCTAACCATCTTGTTCTTTTCTAATTAATAATTAATTGTTCTACATATTAGGCAGCATTGCTTTTCAAATTGGCCGGTGAACGTGAAATAGGTAAACTTCTAATTTTTTTTTTTTTTAACTTTTCAATGATTTGTTAGCTTTATGTTCCTTGAGCTTTAATGATAATTAGTTTACTGTTAATGTTAATAAACCCGCTAAAACTGTAACAAACAATTAACAAATCAGATGGTGGTGGTATTTATAATTTTTAGACACATAACAGAGGTTGACAGAAAATGAATCAAGAGTGGTCAATTGTTGGTAGAAATTCTAAAATAAAGCAGAATTGAGCACCGCAGTTCTTCAGCAGCTGCCATTAGTTGATGCTCACTTTTGTGGAAGGTGACTCTTTTTTTTTTTTTTTTTAAATAAAAGAAGATAAAATTCATCAGAAAGCTGATACAACTAGTTCAAAGTAGTAATTAACATTCTATTTTGTTTGCCGATTGTTTTCATAAACTAATAGCAGACTACCAATAACGGTTAGGGAAGTTATTGAACTATCCGGATGTGGGTAGTATAGGTTGTATTGTAATCTGTATAATAGTATCGAGCGGATTTGCATTTTAAAAATTTCTCTGGTGAGCCACCATTGCAAAACTACTGTAATAAATATATTTAGAGTTCCACGTGCCTAAAACTGTATTATAATCAATCTGCGTTCCGTTGTAGGAATCTCACTTTCTAGCTTTCTGTTTTACCAAGTGTCATTACAAATTTACTGGGTTTATTTTTGCAAAACTACTATAAGCTCTTGCATTTTGAAGAACCTATGGTTTCCTAACGTTTATTTGGAATTATGCAGTAATAACTACCCCTGCGCTATCCCCAGCTCGAGTCAGTGTCAGTGATTTTGCAGTTGGGCTTGAAGAACTTGTCTCAATGTTTAAGGATCATAACATTTCTGCTTTAGAGCGATATGGAGGGGCAAGTCTACTTGAGACATGTTTTGGGTTTCTTACACTGATGCGAAAGTGGTTACTTTGCTGATATAATCCAATGGTTACTTTCTCAGGTTAAAGGTTTATCGAGTTTACTACAATCAAGTCCCGAGAAGGGGATTAATGGGAGTAATGATGATCTATTAAGAAGGAGAACAGCATTTGGAACAAATACTTATCCTCGGAAAAAGGGGAGAAGTTTCTTTGTACGTTGCTATGGTGTTAACTTGTAACATTCTAAAATAAAATTGATAAATTAGTTGCAAATTTGCTGTGCTGATGATAACTCTGGTTTATTTTACAGATGTTCCTATGGGAAGCTTGGCAAGATCTGACCCTAATCATATTGATAATAGCAGCTGCAGTATCATTAGTATTGGGAATAAAAACAGAGGTGCTCTTAACTCCCACATTTTATATATTAGCTCATTGCCATCAATTCCGGTGATAAATTGCGCTTTGCCAGTGGTTTCTACTTTTGTGGAAGGATATGAGAGAAATTAGGTTTTGGGGACATTTGCATTTAGCTGTGTGAGGCATTTGCCTCTCTTGATAATCAATGAATCTAAAAATATTTTAAGATATATTAGTTTGACTAGGACTTTTCCTGTTTAAAACAGTTTCTTCAATATGATGAGTCTTTACGCAAATTTCATTGAAGTGATGCCATTTGGAGGAAGCGACTAGAAGTGTTCATATCCGAAGAACAAATTGGCTAGATGACACAACTATGAGAGGCTGCAACTGTAGCAGACCCATCAAACCATTTTGTCAAAGAACTTATGGATCTTATATTACCATTCCGTTCTTGCTTCTTGCTTTAGGGATTAGTAAATTTTACTTGTTTACTTTACTTACATTCTTCATTTTTGGCTCTAGGAAACTGCTTTTTCTCTTATTAACTCTTTGTAAGTGATTGTATTTTTGTGGTTCTTCGTCCTGATTATTCTTGTCACTAGAATATATTTGTATATCCAGTTTTATTAAAATAGTTATTATCCATCCAGGCTTATCGATTCCCTCATTTGCATTTGGTAGGGTCTGAAAGAAGGGTGGTACGATGGGGGAAGTATTGCTTTTGCAGTTTTTCTTGTCATTGTAGTTACAGGTATTGATTTTAATCTTATCTAAGCTTTTGTAAGTGTTCATAGGATTACCATACAGATTCAGACAAGAAAGAAAATCTTTTTCTTTCTTTTTTTTTCAATTTGTTTTTAAAATAGTTATGTTCTTTCTGGCCTTTTGTTTAATCAGTAACCTTGAAATGAGTAGTGTTTTCATTTCTCGTTCTAACTTTATTTTGTTCTTTTTGCCTTTTCACCTACCAGCTGTTAGTGATTATCGGCAATCTCTGCAGTTTCAGAATTTGAATGCAGAAAAACAAAATATACAACTAGAGGTGCGTGACCATATTTTCTTTAATCACAACTTATCATCGAGGAGCTAAACTGATCATATCTTCAAACTCCTATGCAGGTCATTAGAGGTGGTAGAATAGTAAAGATATCAATATTTGATGTTGTTGTTGGTGATGTTGTGCCTCTTAAAATAGGAGATCAGGTCATTTCATATAAAACTTTTAGTTTGTTTGACACTTTTACTGGAACTTGAGTTATTATCTTTTCATATTTGCTACTCCATGGGTGTACTTAGGTTCCTGCTGATGGAGTTTTAATCACCGGCCACTCACTTGCCATTGATGAATCTAGCATGACTGGTGAAAGCAAGATTGTACGTAGTTTATGCCTTCTACTGGCGCAATTACTCAACTTTGTATCTTTTGATTCTTAAGCGGAGTGCTCTGCAGGTTCATAAAGACCATAAAGCACCATTTTTGATGTCTGGCTGCAAAGTAGCAGATGGAGTTGCTGCTATGCTGGTAATTATACTTATATGCAGAAGAGCAATGCCTGATGTTGGTAGTCTGAGAATGTGCTGTTGTGTGATTTTAAATATGGACTGTAAATGGACTTTTGATCCAACAAAATACAATTATCTGTCCATTTGAAGACATGGTAGGACGTCTGATTGTAAAAAAATTTCACAATCAAATTCAAATATTTTGAATTGGACTGCCAGTTTTTTTCTTTTGGGCAAACACTTGAGGCCTGCTTTTCTCTTTGGAATTTCTTATTGCTTTTTTTTTTAATCAGTAATTTTGGTAGTTTGATTGTGCCTTTATATTGCAATGCATTTAATTCTTTTTGTAATTATTTATTGACAATTTTGTTGTGATTCTGACTTCTGACGAGTGTTTCACTCTTGATGAAAAACGTATACTAGACTCTTCCTCTTCTTTAGTTGCAATATACTTTAAGCTCAAGAGTTTTCACGTCACCTTCATCAGTAATGTGCTGTGCTGTTGTCTATAGGTAACTGGAGTTGGTATCAATACTGAGTGGGGACTGTTGATGGCAAGTATCTCGGAAGATACTGGCGAAGAGACTCCATTGCAGGTTTCCCGCTTCATTTGCACAGACATTGCTTATGCCTTCTAGTAAAACTACGATAAATGGCGCTAAAATTATTACTGTACCATTCATCTATCTTAGTCCTTCCGTCATTCCATTCCATCCTTAAAAAAACTTCCAAATTAATATTTTAGCATAATCATTAATTCTTTGTGACATGTCCAAACCCCATCACTTTTTTTTTTTACCTTTTGTTTTTACGTGATAGGTACGTTTGAATGGAGTAGCGACTTTTATTGGTATAGCAGGGCTTTCAGTAGCTGCCATTGTGTTGGCTGTCCTCTTGGGAAGGTAAATTAAGTTTGTTATTTTCGTATGTTGTTACTTCTGAATACAAGCTCTGCCATCTCTGACTGGCTATGTTATGGCTTTGGAATTGTAGATACTTTTCTGGAAGTACAAAGGATCTGGATGGAAATGTTGAGTTTGTCGGTGGACAGACTAGCGTTAGTAGCGCAGTAGATGGGGTCATCAAAATTTTTACTATAGCTGTATGTGCGAGTTTTGGATCATGTTTTCTATATCTATTCCCTTTCTTTCCTGTTTTAATGGGTTTTTTTACTAAGCATAGTGCCATACAGGTCACTATTGTGGTTGTTGCAGTACCTGAAGGTCTTCCCTTGGCTGTCACCTTAACGTATGTATCAGTCGCTGATATTTAAATCTGCGACACAAGTTGTACCCAATGCTAGACCTCTCATATTGTTGATTTCTTCTAATCTTTGTTCCTTTCTTCCCTTTGCTCTCTCGACAGCCTTGCTTACTCAATGCGAAAGATGATGGCTGACAAAGCCTTGGTATCACTTTATTCTTCTGTTTAAGGGTTTAGCAATTTTTTTCAGTAAGTTCTAAAAATTCTTTCTAACAAACACAATTCTGTAGGTTCGAAGGCTCTCAGCTTGTGAAACTATGGGTTCTGCTACAACAATTTGCAGTGATAAGACAGGAACATTGACATTGAATCAGGTGGATTCCACATTATGGGCTCGGATAGTCTAAAGGGATATGGTCATATTTTGCATTATAGAACCAATATTCTTATTAGTCAGGGCAATTACAGGTTCATAAGACACTTGTTGATCCTCCATTTCTTGTTAGTCAGGATAATTAGGTTTATTGCTAAATAGTTGTGTCAATGGTTTTCAGACATTTAAACAGGATAGCTTTCTAGAGATGAATGTCTTACCATATTATTACTATATTTTGGATCGATGAAGTTCATTTCCATCTTTTTGAAGCACACAAAGAAAATTCTCTTAATCCTAATTTGGAGAAACAGAGAGAAGTAACTCGTAGAATGGATCAGAAGTTCAATAAACAAGTTCAATTATTTTATAGACCTGCTGCTTGGCATTGAACGCGTACATATATCCTATAGTAAATACTAAGCATGTCTACCAAAATAGTCTATGTTTTGCAATTTGTACAAAAGCCATTAGTTGATCATGCATTAGGATTTAATTATACATTTCTCTTTTTGGGCATTATAGATGACTGTAGTTGAGGCATATGTCGGGAAGAAGAATATCAAGCTACCGGAGGACTTACCAAATTTGCACTCAGAAGTTGTATCTCTAATAAATGAGGGTGTTGCACAGAATACTAGCGGAAATGTTTTTGAGCCCAAGGTATGTCTACTTTTTTAATGGAAGTATCTACTATCTAGGATTCTTTCTCCCGTGATTTTAATTGGAGTTATCGTTAGACTTATACAGGAGCATTATCTTGCGACTCTTGTAGACAGGTTACAAACGCTGACGCAAATAGTTTTATGTTACAATTTTATGTGTGTTCTCTCTTTAAAAAAAAAAAAAAAAATCTGAATCACTGAACTAAAATCTGGTTGGCATCACATTCTTTGACATGCTGTAACAGGGTTGTGGAGAAGTAGAAATTTCGGGATCTCCTACAGAAAAGGCAATCCTTTCTTGGGCTGTCAAGGTACCCTTGCTGAAGTGCATGTGCATATCTAGATTTCTTCGTTTTAATATATATATATATATATAGACAAATTTTTAATCGATTTTTAAACTGAAATTATTTCATTGAATCCATGCGACAGTTGGGAATGAAATTCGATCTTGCCAAGTCAAATTCAACAATTCTACATGTCTTCCCCTTCAACTCGGAGAAAAAGCGAGGGGGTGTTGCGCTGAAGCTGGTAATTATGTGACTCGCATTTTGATTGACTTTTGGCTTATCACTTCGTTTATTATATTTTATAAGTCATCATGAGAAGTGTTATTTGATGTTTGTTGTTTCTTTTTATTCCCTCCACCCCACCCCCTTTTCTTCCCTCCTCTCTTTTGCTTGTGAACTAAATCCATTGTTAATTCATATTTACTTTTTTCTTTTTCCTTTTTTTTTTCCCGTGTTACATTCTATAGATTTACTTTGTATAAACATAGTGTATACATAGATTATATATACTTTTTTATTGATTCATTAATTTTAATTGTCCATATATTTTCCACGATAATTAGATAGTGATTCTAATTTTCATGGCAGGCGGACTCCAGTGTGCACATTCATTGGAAAGGAGCTGCGGAGATAGTTCTAGGCTCATGTACTCAATACCTTGATTCAAATGGTCATTTGCAATCAATTGATGCCGAGGTTAGAAGCTACCTAGTGAAGAAGTACTAAAAAGTTTTACAAAAGGGGCTGATAGTTAACTTGCTCAAACAAATATGGAACGAGGCTGCCGCTAAGCCAGTTTATGCATACCAATGTGGTTATAATGTTTCAATCATGTGAGACGTCAAACCTATAGACATTACGAAGGAGATTTCATACCTAACGTTTATTCTTGAACAAAAATTCTTTGATTTATCGAATGCTATTAAACATTTTAGAACATTAACTTTTTTTTTTTGGCCTCAACTTTAACTTTTCAAATTCCTGGAAATTTCCGCTAGATTTGATTTGTGTATTATTATTTGATAAGTATATATGCCTTGCACGTTATTTTAAAGCATGTTATTTCAGCTATAACCCAGTTTTAGAAGAGACTAATGATCTTAAAAATGATATAGCAACTGGGAGCCGTTTGATGTTATTCCAGATTTTGGGTGACTGAGAATTTTTATATCTATAAAACTCCTTTTCAGGACTTTTTCAAGCAGGCTATTGATGACATGGCTGCTCGCAGCTTGCGGTGTGTTGCCATTGCATATAGATCATATGAAACGGACAAAGTTCCCTCTAATGAGGATGATTTGGCCAAGTGGTCCTTGCCTGAGGATGAACTTGTTTTGCTTGCTATTGTTGGTATAAAGGTAAAATTCAAGAGTATATTTTCCTTTTATTTGCAGAAAAGTCATTGTATTTTTTGTCCCCAGGATAGCCGTTAGCTTCATGTACAATTAGGCAGTAGGTCCTGCGCTCTTATCAATATATACAAAATTATATCATCAAATCATTAATACTTCATGTTTTATTTGTCGCTATAGATTTATAATTTAAATAATAACTTGCTGATGTGTTATGTTGCAGAACATAGAATGAAACTAGAATTTTGCTCTGGACTTCATTATGCCTTTAATTTCCAGTGTAGTCCTCATCTTAGCTAGCATAAGTCTGTGTACAGGATCCCTGTCGCCCTGGAGTCAAAGATGCTGTCAAATTATGCACTGAAGCTGGGGTTAAGGTAATTTATTATATTTCTGTTTAATGTTTAATGGGTTTAGTTTTATATTGACGGTTAAATCTTGACACCTTCAGGTTTGGATCGCAGTTTAATGTGAAACTAGTTAAATGCAGAATTAGAATGTGGCTTTTGACATCAATGTCAATGTCAATACATCTAACATAAATTATGGAATTTATTTCAATGCCAACAATGATGCTTAACCTCCGCACAGCTACACAGGGCCCCACCTAGTTATGGCATGAATTTTAACAATCCAAATCATCAAGAGAACCGAACACTTTGTATGTTTGTTTACTTATAGGTACGCATGGTCACTGGAGACAATATTCAGACGGCAAAGGCAATAGCTTTGGAGTGTGGGATACTTTCTTCAAATGAAGATCTCGCTGAGCCAAATGTAATTGAAGGAAAGAGATTTCGTTCGTTATCTGAAAATGATAGGGAACATGTTGCTAAACAAATAACAGTAAGGTTCTTCTATTATGTATATTTTTTATATCTTTAGCTTTATACTTAATTGGTACCTGAGTGAGATAACAAACTCTCTTTCAAAAGTTAGCTGATATCAATAGATGAGTAACTAAGTGGGATGAGGAACCCTCCCCTGAAAATTAGCTATTGAGTTGGTAGAACCTATTTGCTTAAGTACCCCATTGAGCATCCCATGTTCCTCAATGTGGGATTTAGGCATCCTATGCTACCGAGTCTCCTTCAATACTCTAGCTGCAAATATTCTTGCTACTAGCCTCCTGCAACATAGATTACTAGGTTGAAAAGTTTTTGTTGATTGTGAATTAATGTGCGTAGGTTATGGGGAGATCTTCTCCAAATGACAAGCTTTTGCTTGTGCAAGCACTGCGCAAGGGAGGAGAAGTTGTTGCTGTCACAGGAGATGGCACTAATGATGCGCCTGCACTTCACGAGGTATGTCATTTTCATGGCATTTAAAGTCTTGTTAACAGGAGGATGATCATGTTGCGTTTGCAAATTGTGGATGCAAAAAGCCTGATGTGAATGTGAATTTGCGGTTTTAATCATTGAAAACATTTTCTATACAACAGAACGTTGTGTATTTAAGTATGCTTTCTGTAGATTAACTGATCCAGAACCAGAAGGAAAGGAATGTAAAATGATTAAGGAGGGGGGGAGAATAAGAAAAACGTTGGGCAGGCAATTAACTTCAAATAACTAATGAAGATGCTTTATATAGAGTTCAAGAAATGAAAACAAACTAAAAAAAGTTTAATTGAAGAATAATTAAAATATTGAAATAAAATAGAATCAATTAAAGTGTCATTTGATCAATTTCCTTTTTTTCCAACGAAAAACTTTAATTTTCCTACACCTCCATATTCCCATCACCAATACTTCCATTTCTATTCTGAAACAAATCCTGTGCCTATACATAGTGCTTCATGCTTCTCACCTCCCTCGAAATGGTTGGAAGATGAGGCCATGAGCCAAAAGTAAATGATCTTTTTAATAAGCCAGTCTCTTGATCTTTACTTTTGAAAGTACAATTCATCAATAGGATTTTTCTGTTCACGGATTGTCAGCCATATGATAGTAGAATTTATGAAACTTATCAAACCGCATAATAGTGGAGTTGATGCATCTCTAGCTTTCAGCTTCAAGTAATCAACGAGAGAGGTGCCCTTGGTATTATCAATTTTTTTCCTTGCATCTTTTGTCCCTTCATCTGTTTGATTTAGATATCATGTGATCAGTGGCATTATTGTAACAATATATATATATATATATATTTATGTATTTCGTTTCATGTTTTACTAACTTGTATTTTAGGCAGATATTGGTCTTTCAATGGGCATTCAAGGAACTGAAGTTGCAAAAGAAAGCTCAGATATCATAATCCTGGATGATAACTTTGCATCGGTAGTGAAGGTTAGAAAGTTATATAATCGCATGAGCATATCATGAGGTCTTCTTTTGTGCTTCTTGTACTTGTCTTTTCCCCAGCGATCACCTGTAGAAATATTTCATGCTCGGGTAAAAATATCATTTTCTTTTTCTTGCCATATTTCTCCAGCTGTTGCATAATATCTATATTAAATAATTTACTAAATTTACCCTGGTCAAGCGACATGAGATGTAGTGGAAATAATCTTGTTCTGGGTTTTTGGCTTCATTTTGCCTAATGAAAGATCATTTCGCTCCAAGGCACAACCTCAGTTGTTGGTCCAATCTTTAATCTGTATATGATGTCTACTATTTTGTGTAGGTTGTCCGATGGGGCCGTTCTGTATATGCAAATATTCAGAAATTTATCCAGTTCCAGCTCACAGTTAATGTTGCAGCTCTTGTTATAAATGTTGTGGCTGCAATATCTTCTGGTGATGTTCCTTTAAATGCAGTGCAGGTGCCTTTTTTTTTTTTTTTAATCTCTTTCTTCTGTTTTTAATATTTCATTTTTCATTTGTGAAAAAACACTCAAATTACTATGTAGCGTCATATGTAAAACCTGATATAACAATTAATGTGGTTATAAAATGCATCACCCTGGAAGACCGTAACTCTTGTTTCGCTGATCAAGCAAAAAGCCCTTCTCTCTCTCCCATGAACCTGATCCTACCCTTTCTTAACATGGTTTTTAGGCCATGGAATTCATGTTCTTTCTATTTCTCATTAATATTCTCTTATGGATTGTTGAATCAAAAGCTGTATTTTTTTTTTTTTTTTGGGGGGGGGGGCGCTGTATTTTGTGATAGAACTATTGTGGAATGAAATCTACAATATTTTTTGCTAAAAATCGTATGTGCTGCTGCAAATTGCATGATGATCAATAAATTGTTGGACGCAAATTGCTGTAGCATTGACATGAATATTTAAGATGACAAAAATTAATTAATATATTTCATTACAGAAAGGATAATATTATTAGCATTTAAAGGGAAGCATCTCCTCGTTTGCTTCACAAAAGCATCTTTAAGCCTTGGAAGCACAAGAGTACAAGCACCGTTACAAGAATTATAACATGACTTGATGGTCTTGTCTGTCAGAAGCAGAACTAACAATACTCCCAAATAGGGCCCAAGTCTGCTTGTGCTGGCATAACTTTACTATACTAATTATTGCATGGCTTAGTATAAGAAGTACCGAAATGGTATTATGGTATCAATTGCTCACTCCAAAATTGCATGCGCTTGCTAATGATATAAAGTCCTGATTTCAATACATTGATAAATGACAATGTAGGAAAGAAATATAGCTTGATCATGTAGGGTTCACTACTTAGTGAGTTGAGCCTGTTACAAAGGAAGCAAAGCTATCATAGGCATCCTATGTGTACAAAAAGTAGCTATCAAGTCTTGTTCTTGTTCGTTCACAAGAATGCTCGCAAGAAGGCAAAAAAAAAAAAAAAAAATAGTTAGCTCAAATTGTTGTCTGTTACATTATGATTTTGCTGAATGTGTAATTGTTAATATAGTTCTTGTTCAAAACTTTGCGTCACATGTGTTATTGAGAAATATGATACATTTAACTTGTTTTGGGCTAATTAAGGACGCAGCGATGAGAACACAATTTTTATTGGTTCCTAATGTAGCTGCTCTTTGCACAGCTTTTGTGGGTCAACCTTATCATGGACACTCTTGGGGCCCTTGCATTGGCCACTGAACCACCAACGGACCATCTTATGCACAGATCACCAGTTGGCAGAAGGTTTGGGTTGGCTTTCTGAATGTGCAGTATATATTAATTTTAGTACCCTAACTTGAATATAGAGCTAAAATGAAAACAATCAAGGTGACATGGGTAACACGTTTGCCTCAGCGAGTTTTCCAATCCCTTGTACAACTTTGAAGATATTCCCTTGAGAAACCGTTTGTTCCAAGGAAAGCCAAGGAAATAACCGTGTCTCACACCACGTTAGTTCAGATGGTGAAAAGCTAGATTCTATTCCAAACAAGTATTCCCAAGCAAACAACGGCGCTTCCATGAAGGCTTGCATATTTTTCTTTTTGTTCTTTTCCTTCCAAATCTTGAAAATGAGAGGAAATAGGGAAATATAAAATCCACTTGCACCGTTTTGTCTTTTATTTACCTTTGAAGTGCCTTTTTATCTCCATTTTCTCACTTAAAGTCTGTCCAACCTCTCTATTTGTGTTTTGCATATGTTTTTTTTTTTATTATTTCTTTTTTCGAAACAGCAGTTTACAGCTTAATTGGATTTCTTTCTGATGGTCAGATTTACTCTGTAATCTTGGAGGTATTTGTAGACTAAATGAATGCAAATTTTTACTGTGGACTTATGTTTGGTTTGTAGGGAATCTCTTATAACAAATATTATGTGGAGGAACTTGCTCATACAGGTAAAATTTATTGTATTCTATGAATACACTTGTTAAATTTATCATGGAATTGGGAACATTTGGCTTTTGACTGGTGTCTAATTCATTGATTTGTCATTACAGGCTTTATATCAAGTTACTGTTCTACTTGTTCTGAACTTCGGCGGCGATCAAATTCTGCGAAGTCATTACTCTAGAGCTCGTACACATCAACTGAAGAATTCTTTGATATTCAATGCATTTGTCCTCTGCCAAGTAAGTGAATTTTATATGTAAATATGAATCGTGGAAGTTGCCATTCTTTTTGTTTTGTTTTGTTATGTTTTGTATGTTCTCATCTGGCTAAGAGTTCCATGTAATAGAATTCTTTACTGTACTCCGTAATTTCATGAATAGAATATGTATAAATTGATTATACTTGAGAATTCAGGAGGTGATTAGACCTGTGGGGCTATGGTGTTAGAAAAATGTCAGCGTACCTTTCAGTTGCTTCGTATGAGCTGCGCACAATGTTCACTTATTGAATGTGCCTATTACCTGACCGATGTGCTTCAGCAATCTCTACCTCGTAATATGAGTTAGAGAGAACAAACCTAAAAGAACTTGTTTTTCTTAATCAAATCGATCCAATTCTAATTACACAATTCTGTAATGATTCAACGTACAGATATTCAATGAGTTCAACGCTCGGAAACCAGACGAAATGAATGTCTTCCGTGGAGTGACTAAGAACCACCTCTTCATTGGAATTGTTGCAATCACCTTTGTACTTCAGGTGAGAAGGCACTCCATCTCTTTTTTGTGTTTTTAAAGTGGTTAATTAAGGCCATTTGCTTTCTGTTTTTAAAAAACAAAATTTATTTGAGTAAGATCATGTTTGGTTACTAAAAAAAAATGGAATGGAATGGATTGAAAAAATCAAAACAAAAGTGAACTAAATTATCCTTCCTCTCATAGTAAATATGATAAAACTTATTAATATATACTACAAATGTGAGAATCATCATATCCTTAAAAAATCTTATAAATCTTAATTCTCAATCTCATGAACTAAATTATTTCTCTCCCTTATGAATGTACTTACTTATTCCCATCAATCATTTTATTTTTATCTATATTTTTTTAATCTAGTAAGCAAACTTGATCTAAGTGTTTTGAATTTAGATGTTTTCAAAATTGATTCATTTTTTATTTTTAAAAAAAAAGTGGAAATATTTTAGAACTTTCTTCGTTTTCTTTCTTTTATTTATTTTTTAAGCACAACATTTAATTATTATAAATTATTTTTAGCTATTGCTAATCACATTCATAGTTCATCACTATTAACTACTGGCAACCACCACTATTAGTCACTTTTTTAACTCAAATTATTTTTAAATTAACATGATCAAATAAATTTTCATTTTGTTTTGAAAAATAATTTTAAAAAATTGATTTACAAAATATTTTTTAAAAAGAAAAAAAAAATATGAAAACAAAATCAAACAAGACATGCATACTGATAACTCTACCATCTGTTAGATACTCATCATCGAGTTCCTTGGAAAGTTCACGAAAACCGTGAGGCTTGATTGGAAGATGTGGCTTATTTCTCTTGCTATAGGGCTGTTCAGGTTAGTCTTCTCGCCAAGTCTTGTGTAACAACGCTTCAAAACTAGCACATTCAATTCAAGTTGGTGTAGAAAAACTTGTGGCTTTCTGGTTTGAATCCTGACCCATGTTTTTTTCTTGGATTGTTGCAGCTGGCCCCTGGCTGTAGTGGGAAAATTAATTCCTGTTTCAAAAACACCACTCTCACGGTACATGTTAAAGCCATTGAGGCGATGCTGGAAGCCTCGTGGTTTATGATAAGTTCAAAATTCAAATGGCGGTTCTTAAAGTGATCACCAACCATCAACTATTGGGAGAATTACACATAAGCCCAACTCAAGATAATTAATTACTGTTAGGTGCAAGTGGGATCTTAAAGTAATTCTCCCTTAACTATTTAAGTAAATAATACTATGCTTCCTTGAATGTTCACTTCTTTCATTTGTAGAATACTGTATAGTGTCTAATGGCTTAAAGGGTAAATTTGTCTTGGAAATTTTTTGCCACAAGCACCAGGTATCTTTACTTTTTTGTTAGCACAATATTATCCCCATTCTTTTAAAATCAAAGTACTATTGCCCTGCCATTAATCTTTAAAGGACGTTGACTGTTAAATGACTAGGTTTGATTGACATATTTACACGTGGCTATTCCTTCATTGTTTTCTTCAATGCTTCTCTAGCGACAATTGAGATGGGCATGCACGCTCCCCTCTTTTCTCAAAACCTTAGATGCTTTGTCGCTTCTATCGAAGGTATTGGCCAAGAATTGCAACTATGCTCTTGTGGAAGGGTTTGAGATTATAATGTTTGTTTTAACATTACCAACAAATCACACATTAACACATTATTATGGTAATTGTAGCTTAATTAATTCCCTTTTCAAATTACCATAATAAAAAATGGTCAAATAAAATATTTTAAAACCAACATATATAAAGTTTTGGGATCCAAAGAAAAAGCTAATTAAAAAATCAAAGGTTTGAAGCATATGGAAGCATAACAACTAAATGAAAAAATATATATTTTAAAATAAGGCAAAATGATAATTTTTTCCCTCTTTAACACAATCGCCATGGATTGAATTGACCAAAACATTATTAGTTGTGATCAAGTGCCATGGTATCAATAAATCTAAATGTTGTCAGTATTCAAATTGCATCTTTTCTAGGAGCCTCTCTGCTTTCCGCCTAATGTTATTCGACTGATGAAGATAGATTAAGTATTTCGCTAACTAATTAAACCTAGTAATGAATTCTTCTTCATCCATATTTCCTTGCTTCAACTTATGAAATTCTCCTTCCTTCTCAACTCTAAAAGCAACAGAGAAGTAATAGTCAAAAAACATTTGCTCAAATCCATGCTAAGTAAAATGAGATCTAGCTACTGGTCTAATGGAATCTACTAATACTTAGCCTCCTTAACAAACAACACAATGGCCAAAGTAACTTTCAGTTCTGACAAATAGGTAACCACCTCAAAGATAGTCTCAAGATCAATCCATTTCTTGGCCTCTCTCTCTTTCATACTCCTATCAAAAGTTGGTAGATTGAAATAGGAAAAACTCTTCTAAGCTTGATCAATAGAAACCTCTGTGCTACTACCACAAACACCAAATTGCTCTGGTCAGCTACTAAAACCCTTAAACTATTCTAGTCTACTACCAAAACCCCAAGACTGCTCTAGTTTATTCTCATAGGTACCATCGTCTCTAAATTCATTCCTATCCTCATTCTAGCTATTCGTCTACTTTCACCATGACCTTTATTTCTCAATAAAGTCTTATGGCCCTAAACAATCCTCATAATGTCAATCATTACATTCCGCAACTCTTCTAGTAAAGCATCATTACCTTGTGGTCTATGCTACTTAAGTATTAGCTTCCCCTCTGATATTTGCTGCTCATGATTCTCTAGCAGATTATCCACTATAGGAATTCTCCTCATCATTTATTTCATCATGAACTCTATTTCTCAATAGAGTCTCATGGCCTTAGATAGGCCTCCTAACATCAATCATCATATTTTGCAGCTATTCTAATAAAGCATCATTACCTTGTGGTCTAGGCTACTTAAGTACTGGATCCCCTTTTGGTATTTGTTGCTCATGATTCTTTGGCGGATTATCCACTGTATGAATTCACCTAACCATTTCTCCTGTTTTAAGGATGGAAGCAACCATAAGAGAAGCTAGTGCACAATAAAGTTGAAAGCTATACAAAGAGAAAAAAATATGTATTGAATATATATATTGTCAATTGCTAAATGCTAAATGCAACAAACATAGCACAATATGTTATATTTTGAAACTTCAAAAATTGATACCAAATTATAATGTCTACCTTTATATTAACAATAAACCACACATAACACATTATTATGTTAATTATGACTTAATTCCTTTCTAAAAAATTACCATAATAAAGAAGTTCAAACAAAATATTTAAAAACATTTATAAATTTTTGTGATCTCAAGAAAAACCCTTCTAAAATATTGTTGAGCTCAACACGATTTAAAACAAAATGTTTGAAAACAATGGAAAGCATAAGAACTAAATTAAAACAAATAATTCAAAACAAGGCAAAACAATAATTTCCCTCTCTTTAGCACATCTACGAAGACCAACAAGTCATTCACTATAGAAAATAACACAGAAGGAGTGAGTCACAGCCAAGGCATCATTAGTCATGACTAAGTGCCATTGTACCATGTGCTGCGATGCTGAACACTTTCTGTAACAACACACATACCATTCCATGATAGAACATGTGTTATCATAACAACATCTAGAGGCAAAACTTCTAATGCATGCTATTGCTCCACCTGATATCCAATTGGAATAGTTTAAGTGCCCATATAAAGCTTACTCAGTTATCCAACTAGTGATATTAGTTTCACATCAGAATAACATTTTATTTAAAAGTTAAACACTCATATGAAAAACAATCACTTTTCTAAAAGAAATGTGCAACTAAGTGTCCTCATCATTAACCTTAACCAAAGCTTGAATCATGTCTAATGGATCAATAAACACTTAATTGAATAGTTATACAAGTAAAATGTACAACAAAACAAGATTTGGCTGGTCAAAACTCCTAATTTCAACCAAAATAGGGTCAAATTCCTGAGGCATTATATGCTATACAAATCAACTATTTCACAACATAACCAAGTCAAATACTATTCTTGTACTAGTATTTCAGTCCCACCACAATCACATCTCAAAAACATAAACCATGCCAAAACTCAATACACAACAACCATTCACGTCATGCAACCACATTTAAAAACTATATGCATATCCTAGTTGGTAATGTATACATATAAATTCATTTACACATTATACATAATCAAAAGGCATTACAAAGTAGTAATGAAACTACTCCTTGACTTTTCTTCCCCCTTGCTCCTATCAACGCTATCACCTATAAAATAGTAACCATGAGGTGAAACAGAGTCCTAGTACCTAAATTATCTAAATTATCTGTTAACAAATCAAACTTAAATGAGAATGTAAAGTAGGATAACTATAATGGTTAAGGTCCAACTTCTATCTCTATACTTATTTTGAAGAGCACTGGGCACCTTATGTTCTTAAGTATGGTAATTTTCTTCTTGAACTATTTTTTGAGGATAAAAAATGCCCTTTTGTTAGTATGTCGTGAAGTCTCCCATTTTCTCTAATGATATGTCATGGTGTGGGCCCCCTCTCAATCATTCTTAGCAAAATGTTTCGTTAGCCTGTTTGATCAATGAAATTTAAGTCTCCATCATCATTGTCTCTTCTACAATCTATAAGAACTCCATACTAGAACCCTATTAATCTAACCTAGACTCAATTTTGGTAAATAGGCATTGACGTTATGGGTTTTGTAATGGCCTCTCAGCTTCTCTACACTAGCCACTCCATCTTCCACCATTCCTCTGCATTGGCCGTCAATTGCAGCTTGATCGATGTCCACCTCCAACCTTTATCTATGACCTTTATCTCCCTCCATCTCCTTACCGTGCAACCTCCTTTAATATCCATCTCTTTGATTTGCTATTTTTTGTCATCTTTCTTTTTCTAGATATGATCAAGTGTTTAAAACCTTTTGAATCAATTATGGGTTTAGTTCATTTTTTTTAGGAACAGACCATAAATGGGTTTATTAGGGCTGATTGAGATGTGTGTGATTAATTGCATAGCAATTCTTATGCTATTTCTATATGTTTAATCCATTTGTTGCCCTTCATACCTGCTTATTTTGTGGAATCAATTCTAGGCTTCTCTCTCTCTCTCTGTCTCTCAATCAATGAATATGAAGGCTTGGTTAGAGGACTTGGCTTCCAATCAATAAAGTTTGACCATTTGCTGGGGCCTACACCATAACATATCATTAGACAAAATGAGAGATTTCATGACACACTAACAAAAGGACATTTTTACTCCTCAAAAAAAAAAATAGTTGAGGGGAAAAATTATCCCCACTTAAGAGTACAAAGCATATAGTGTTCCTAAAAAATAAGTATAGGGATAAAATTAGACTTTAAGCCTAATTATAAAACATGTGATCATGGAAAAAAAAGAAATTATCAATAAGATATAACATGCATGATCATAAATATTTATTTGAACCTCTGCAACTACCTTCAAATGAACTTGTAGGCTAACAATATATTGAATTAAGTCTATGTAACTAGATTAACCTGAGCTCACCTAATATGAAGGGCAAATCGGTTATAGGTGCCATTACTACTCGGTTATATATATATATATATATATTGATTTGTAAATATATATAGTGGTAAGATGTTTTTGAAAGATTATAAGTATGTATATGTATATAGTTTTTGAAATGAGTTGTAAATGGTTATGTGATCCTAAATATTCAATTGAGAAATAGGATTATATTTGAATGGAATGTGTAAGAAATGTTTCATTTATGCATTTTTTTGGCATGATTAGTGTAAGCGTAAGAGTTCAGCCTAGGAGGAGTAGAAGAAGAAACTGAAACTTCAAATTCTGTCTCCAGATTTCAGCACTCAATTCACCCTCTCAACCTTACGGTCATTTACTTGATACACAAAGAGCTCCAGGATTGATTTTGAGGAAATGAGGGGAATAGCAATAACGTAGATTCTAGAGACTCAAACAGTTTATATAGTTTTTTTTCTCCCTACAAAATTTGTTTAAACCATATTAGATTTGAATCTTGCGTTGCAAAGCAAGTTTATTTCATAATTTCATATGAGCAAATTCCTCTATATTTTTAAACACAGATTATGAGCACGTGACTTTAGCTAGATATGGATATGGACTTACTTTTTCTATGCTCAAGGAATATTTCGAAACAAGAACCTCATCTCGTTATGACACAGGAAACAAAACTTATCTTCGGAGAAACGCATGTTCAACGTGAAAGCAAGAAGGGAGACAGCATATGTATATAAATAAAACAGAGAAATGAAAGCACTTGAATTTCCTTCTCTCTCTTTTCAGCTTTGGAACGTTTCT